CAATCAAATTGATTCCCTCGTGATATGGGATATTTTGTCGTACATTCCTTCATTCCTTATAAATGTATCATTCTTTGGTCTGTTTTGCATTTTGCAAAAATAAAAATTAAATTTTTTTCTTTCCAGTCAAAATTCACGATATTATTTTAATCTAAAAAATTATGAAAATGACTTGATGTGAATTTACATGTCGATATTTGCATTTATGAAAGTTTGAAGCATTTCGGATTTAAAAGAAAAATAAATCAAAGTATGTCAACCGTAGAATTTTGATCAAGTAAAAAAATAAGAAGTGAAAACCAATGCAGACAGACCATTTCCGAGGAGAATATACAGAAAAAGTGAATTGAAAAGAAACTCAATAAGTAATGAAATTGCCGATATATCATTTTACTTAGGAGATATTACCGGTTCTTGTAAGTAGAAATCATCTATCTATCCAATCAAATATTGATCATGCACTATTTTGGGAAAAAAAATCAATATGTTGGAAATTACAATATCTTTTACTTATTTAATTACTTGACAAATGTTTCAAGCAAATTTTTAACAAAGCCACATTAATAAAAAAACCACGGTTTTAACTAAAATTAATGAATGTGTATGTTACTCCTTTACTTAATGCCAACAATAATTTGATGCTTAAGGGTTATTTTTTATTCAATCTTAGTAGTTGGAGGAAACTTCCTCCAACTAGGTTTTTTATTTATTTATTTAAAGTACAATCTAAAGTATTTTATACACTATCGTTCAATAAATTTCAGAGAACAATCACACGTGAGGGGAGGTCGATGGTGACCACATGATTATTATTTTGTTTAATCTACATTTATACGTATATGCATGGACATAATGTTGACAGTATGTTTATAAATGTGGGGTCCAAATCAAAGCAACGTCAGCTGACAACAAGAACATTCTCCAGCGTCGTTTTGGTCCGTACGTGGGGGCCACATGGTGACGACCTGCATGTCATTTAGTTCCTATCTACAGTACCACGTGAGGCATCCGGTAATATTTGGGATAATTATTCAAATAGTTCCTAAATTTTAATCCAATATATAATGTGATTTCTGAATTTTTAATTTGTTCAATGTGGTCCCTAAATTTTAGCCCAATTTGCAATGTTGTCCTTGAATTTTTAATTAATTTAATATGGTCCCTTAACTTTTGGTACATATTCAATCTAGCCTTGCACTATATTGAAAATGTTCAATGTTTAATCTAACCCTTGAACTTTACCGAGACGCCCTCGCTAGCTCTGGATGAGTACACGCGGTTGAACACATCCTCCTCTTCCGCACAGAACGTCTCCTTGTCAGGAGAAATCGAATGACAAGCATGCGAGAGCCACAAGACACCAAAAGGTTAAGAAACCCTCGCGACCGTAAAAGCACACAGCACCAGCACCACAATGGCTTTTAGTTGGACAGTTTTCGAAAACTCATCTTTGATTGTGGTGTGCAAGTTAAAGTGAACCTTTGATGAATTCTTCAAGTTCGGAGGAGAGAAATGAAGCGATGTCGACGGGGTTTTGTGCGTAGAGCCGATAGTCTTCGGGTTCCTCTTCGAGAGCCTATAGATTCAGAGCGAAGACGTAGTGAGGAGCCATTTTCGCGTGTCGGAGGATAATTGAGAGAGTGTTTCTCTTCCTTGTTGCTGTTGTTATTGAGATTTGTTCACTGGTCGTCTATGTCAGAACGTGTAACTTTCAAAATGCGGGTTCGGCAAGATCTGGCCAAGCAAGGGCCTCGCGGCCCTCGCCAAGTCTGGGCGAGGGTTGGCTGGTGAGCCTCGCTGGCCCTAAGTCTAGAGAAAAAAAGAAAAAGTAAAGAAAAGAAAAGAAAATTCAAAAAAAATTCAAAAAAAATTTAAAATATTATTACAATATCTACGTTAGCATCGACCGTGCCACGTAGGACAGCTAGCGTCTACATCAACAATTTCCTGCCAAAATTGGCCAGATAGACTCAATTGGCAAAACATGAAATTGTTTGTAACTCAATTGTTACAATTGAAAGGTTTAGGACTGAATTGGCACAAGTGCAATAATCTTATAACTTTTTTTGGTAATTTTCCCTCTATACTTCTCTATATATTGGTCTCTTGGGGTGTGTATGGCAACTTGCCAAATAGTAACTGATTCTGTTCTTTTGTTCCCAGAATCAGTTTAGGAACATAAATCTGTTTGTTAAATTTTTTGTGCTCGGAAAAAATTATGCCCATAATCAGTTTTGGAATAGAATCAAGAAGCAAAAAAAAGTAGCTTCATGATTCTTGAACAAGTTTTCTGGAACTGATTCTTCTTGGTTTTCTTCTCTTTTTTGGTTTGTTGTTCTTCTTCGGCTTGTTGCCCGCCACCCACTGGCGATCGGCCACCAGTCGCTGGTCGCCGACCGCCGGCCACAGACCAGGGCCAGCGAGGGCGTTGCGGCCCTCCCCGGTGGCCGGCGAGGGCGGCTCGTGGCTGCCACGACGAGGCTTCGCCCAGCCAAGGCGAGGCCGACCTCACCGTTGCCAACCCAGGTGACGGCGAGGTCGGCCTCGCCCAGATCTGGCAAGGCCAACCTCGCCGGCCCTAGCCTGTGGCCGGTGGCCGGCCATGGCCAAGGAAGGAAAGAAAAAAAAAAGAAAAAAAAGGAAAAAAAAGAAAAAATTCAAAATATTATTAAAATATTATTAATAAAAAGAAATTTTGTGTAGTTAGCAAACGCATTTATGTTCTTTTTCTATTCTAAGAACAGATATTTTGGATAGTTACCAAACGTCTTCAAATGCTTATAAATTGTTTCTGGGCACGGAATAAAAAAGAATCATTTCTGCCAAGAATCAGATTCTAAGTATAGAATGGTTGCCATACGCAGCCTTGATATACTACTCTTTACGCAACTTGTCAAGAATGAAATAGAGAGAAACATTCTTCGTTTTTAACTCCTCGTGTGTGCTCGATACAGTTTTCATATTGGTTTGCATGCGAGGAGGAGGCATTAAACTTTGGCACGTCACTTGCTTTCTAGATTCATCAAGCCTTCAGGGACATATAACTCAATTCCTCGCATCGCATCACACTTTTTGATAGCATTGGGAACTTCCTCCTTAGACCTACAACCCCAATCACGCATCTCGTAATTCAAGGTTTTTCCAAACATTATAAAGAAAAAGCATTCCAAGCTAATTTGTGTATAAAATTCAATGAGAGGATTTCCCTTTGAAATGAGAAGCTCGACCTCCCAAGATACAACCAATTCATGGATAAATTTTTTGGATATTTCAAACAAAAATTCAGGTATTATATAATAAATAATATTCATACACGGTAAGAGTCTTAAGTCATATTACTCATACTCACGGTGGAAATTATATCTCATGTGATATGGTAAAGAAAATAGACAATCAAAGAATCTCGTGAGTACATGGAGCATCAATCAACTCAAACAACTTCCTTCATTGCTTCTTTCACGCCATTACATCAATATTGTCTGTCGTCCTCTCCTTGCTAGCTCCACTTCGTCTGTATCCTCCTGTTTTAACCCTAAAATCAGAATGAAATCGAATCGGGTTGCATCAAAATATTATCAAGATGAGGCAATATATTCTCTAGCTAATTCCTTCCGTCCTTCCAAAGTGTCGGCAAGCCCGCGTTCTTCGCCAGTCTCTTTCCACTGGTTGCGCGCCAATTTGACGCTCGGACAATAATGTCGATGCAAGCTTTGTTTGTTTCCCCTTCACGAAGACCCCATTGCCTGATCACACCGCGTTTGGTGAGCCACCACGATGAACTTGCAACACATGCAGAAACAGAGAGAGAGAGAGAGAGAGAGAGAGAGAGAGAGAGAGAGAGAGAGAGAGAGAGAGAGAGAGAGAGAGAGAGAGAGAGAGAGAGAGAGAGAGAGAGAGATTTTGGCGTTCATGAGATTTTTCTTCAGTTCAAACCCTAACCAGTTCATCTTTAGTTTCTTATGCCCTAATTAATGATCCTGGAGTATGGAACAACTGAGATTTTTCAAATGGGCGGAGAGTGAGAGCGATATGATGATGCGATAAGATTATATTTGTAGTATCGCTCCAAGGATGTCCTTGTCCTAAGGACCAAACGACAGCTTCCGCTAGTCTACCAAACGCGGCACTGTAGGGAGAATCAACAATCCTCCTCGTCTTCTCTAACCATCACAAGTGGTCGAGCTTTGCACATTTGTGAAATCTGAATTATTAATCTTTAGAATTGACAAAAGAAAGAAAGAAAAGAGTCATTCCACAGAGAGAACAAACCGTCCCTTATCGGGAACCCTAGGCTTACGACTTCTTTTGTGACGAATTCGATGTTGACTCGACTTATATTAAACAAGTAGTATTTGAAGTTGGAATTACCATAACTAGCATGTGTCCTTAGGGTAAAATGATTGATCCACTTAATGGTCCTCTTGAAAAAGAGTTTTTTTTTTTGCATGTGATAAGTGTTTTGGTTAGATCTCTACAGTGATTTCTTCTCTAGCACATTAGGAGAAAGCCAAATCCTCATCACTACGGGGTGAGCTATAAATACTTACTCGCTATGGACTACGACTATCAATGACTTATGCATATGTGATCAAAATAGACAAATTTGAATATAGATCGGCACTTCGCGATCTAATCAATTAAACAACATTTCAGTAAATCAGACTTACATGAAAACTAAATTCACGGTAACAATTTCAAATTTACGTTAAAAAGTTGTTCTTTTTTATGTTCTTCAGTACAAACACGTTCAGTGGCAAGGAGAGAGACTGAGGGTTCGAATATAGGAACTCAAAGGTGGGGTTGCAAGAAAGTGTCTCCTATTACAGTGATTTGGTGGTCGTCCTACCCAAGAAATCTCTATAGATACTCGATTGGTTTAGGGGTAATATTACAAAAAAAAAATTCATTATATACCTAAATGAAGTGAAGTGGCTGAAAAATTGCAATTATATGAACTATATCGAAACTGGGCCCGCAAGCACACAAAATGGAAACAAATGGCCAATGATATTTGGCCTTTAAATTAAGCTCCTTGTAATGGGCCTAAAAAATCTCTCCCTCTCTTTGATTTTTGGAAAAGGATTCTTCTCAGTATCATTGTCCTCATGTCCCAAATCACATTTGTTATAGTGAGGAATTTGCATTGAGAGAATGTGCTTCAAGATTTTTGAATCGAGAGAAAATGTGGTGCTGAGTTTTAAAATCTCTTCTTTGAGAGTACTATTTTCAGCTTGAGAAATGTGAACTTCACTCACTCGGAGGCCGTTTTCCTTTTTCAAGTTTTCAATAATAGTTTTGTAATCAAGGTTTTTGGAAGTGAGCTCAAAAACTTATTTCTTTAAAACTGAAACCCTTTTTGAAACCTTTTTGTGTTCTTCAAACATTTCTTTCAAAAATTCCTACATCTCTTCATAAGTTAGTTCAGGATTATTTACCTTATTTTCATCTTCATGGTCGGAATATGCCATTAGACAAAGTTTTGCTTCCTCTCCATCACTGGATTCACATTCGGTATCACTCCATGATTCAGCTTTCAGTGCTCTCTCCTCTTCTTTTCATATTTCCCTTTCTTCTTGTTGAGCAATGGGCAATTTGGCTTTATGTGACATGGTTTTTTGCATTCATAACAAATAAGATCGTTACTTTTGGAGTCTTCTTTGCTTTTGTATTGCCTCTTTTCTTCTGGAAACTTCGTTTGACGTTTTCTTTTGAAGTTTCCTCCTTTCTTCATAAGGCTATTGAATCTTCAAGTGGATAATGCCATATCTTCATTGTTACCTTCATCTCCTAATGATATTTGATCACCTGTATCATCATGGTTAGCTTTGAATGCAATAACTTTCTTACCTTTTGAATTACCTTCTTCATTTTGTTGTTCTATTTCATAGGACGTGAATGTTCCTATCAGCTTATCCATCGTGATTGGATGAATCTTCATTGTTTCTCGTATTGAGGTCTTTACGTTGTTCCATTACTTTGGCAATGCTCTCAATAGCTTGTTCATATTTTCTCCATCAATGAACAATTTTCCTTGGTGTGCTAGGTCATTTACTATTTCTATGAATCTGTTGAACATTTGTGATACTATTTTATCTAATTTCATCTTGAAAAAGTTCATATTGTCCAAGAAAGATGTTCATCTTTGTCTCCTATATACTCTATCAATTCCTTCAAATATCAGTTGAAGTCAATCCCAAATGTCCTTACCTGTGACACAAGAAGAAATTCTGCTAAATTGAGATAAAGATAATGAACAATATAGCAAATATCTAGCTTTAGCATTGTGACCAGCTCTATTTCGTCGAGCTTCTTCAGCAGCAGCAATAGCTGCAACATCTTTAGCTTGAGCTTCTTGTCCTTCTCGTCGAACAGGACTGGGATGGGAGCTAGAGTAGGTATGTCTACTTCGCGTTCGATTACATCCCACATGTCGAGATATGTTGCCTCAAGATAGGATTGCATCCTTTGCTTCCAATAGCTATAATTGCTTCCATCAAAGTAGGGCAGCTTGCTAGGAGAAAGAGCATCATTGATAAGAAAACCACCAAAGTTAGCCATAAGAGAAGATCTTTATACTCAGAAGAAATACACTTAAGACAACAAGCAACATGGCTCTAATACCAATTGTTAGGGCTAACAATACAACCTAGAGAGGGGTGAATTGATTGTTTCAAGATTTTTGATAACTTTTGCGAAAAATAGTAAGTGCTAAGTAAAGTCAGGTTCAGATGATGTTTCAGAAACAGTGAGCTGATTGTGTACTTTTGTGATTGAAACAAAGAGAATTAGTAGCACACAAAGATATATAGTGGTTCGGCTTTATCCACAAGCCTACGTCCACTCTTACCACTAACAGCACAAGTCAGGTTGGAATACACTATTAATTTACTGAACAAGTTACAACTATCACATACCAATCTTTTCAGAAGATAGATCACACTATCAGAAATTAGGTGCTGCTAAGTACAATTGATCTTTTAGCATAATTATAATGTAGCAAGATTCACATACAGATAAAAGCTTTTGCACAAGGACACAGCTTGTAGTAGATTTCTGGTTTGTGTATGCACGTCTCTAACATCTTGGCGTCAAAGATCTTCTCTTTTATAGGCATCCTCAATTAGACTGTTGGAGATGTCTTGGAGAAGTAAGAGAGCCGTTGGGAGTTCGTTGGTGCTGTTGTCCAAGGATGGTACTGCCCATGCAGCTTTTCCCGAACATTTGCAAACTACTTGAAATAGCTTCTGTTGTTGTTCTATCGCTGCAGCTTTGACATATTGTTAGACAGTCTATTCTCAGATTTTTTGTTTCTTCTACTGTGTATGTTCAGTCCATAACGGCAATAATAGTGAACCAATGGTCATATTCAATGATCCGTTGCTATAACAGTATGAACATCCTAATCTCCTCAGCTTAAAGTAAACATCGTCTTGTAGTTGATTGCTTCTTTCCACTGAAATTTCTTTGTTTCTTTATAAGATTTTGGAATCTTTTGGACAACAGAGCAATGACTTCATCAACACTGTTCTCGTCCGATGTATCATGTTGGGGCTAACAATACAACCTAGAGGGGAGGGGGGGTGAATAGGTTGTTTCTAGATTTTTGACAACTTTTGTGGAAAATAGTAAGTGCTAAGTAAAGATCAGGTTCAGATGATATTTTAGAAACGGTGAGCTGATTGTGTACTTTTGTGATTGAAATAAAAAGAATTAGTAGCACGCAAAGATATATAGTGGTTCGGCTTTATCCACAAGCCTACGTTCACTCTTACTACTAAAAGCCACAAGTCGGGCTGGAATACACTAGTAATTTACTGAACAAATTACAACCAACACACACCAATCCTTTCAGAAGATAGATCACACTATCATGAATTAGGTGTTGCTAAGTACACTTGATCTTTTAGCATAATTACGATGTAGCAAGATTCACAAATAGATAAGAGCTTTTGTATAAGGACATAGCTTGTAGCAGATTTATGGTTTTGTGTATGCACGTCTCTAACATCTTGGCGTCAAAGATCTTCTATTTTATAAGCATCCTCAATTAGACTGTTGGAGATGTCTTGGAGAAGCAAGAGAGCCATTAGGAGTTCATTGGTGCTATTGTCCAAGGATGGTACTGCCCATACAGCCTTTCCCGAACATTTGCAGACTACCAGAAATTGCTGTTGCTACTATCTTGTCGCTACGACTCTGACATATTATTAGACAGCCTATTATCAGATCTTTCGTTTCTTCTGCTGTGTATGTCCAATCCACAATAATAGTGAACCAACAGTCATATTACAAGATGAACGTCCTGATCTCCTTAGCTTAAAGTATGCATCGTCTTGTTGCTAATCTTTAGAGATCCGTTGGTGCTGCTTTTACAATTAGAACAAATACGTGATCTTATCACTTCGGTTCTTTAAACATTATCATGAACATCTGCAAATATCAATGTAAAACATTATACTAAGGATAGTTTTGGTATTATCAAAATTTCCTTGAGATGTTTCTCCAACATATCATACATGTTATCCTTAAAAGCAATTAACTTCGTACCTTTTTGCTCTCATTCATTATATTTTTCGCTTTATATGCCATTAGTGTTCCCAAAAGTTCATCCAATGAGAGAGGCACGATTCTCAATGTTTCTCGAATCGAAGTCTTCACATGATTCCACTCCTTTAGTAATGCTCTCGAGATCTTGTTCACATTTTCTGCATTTGTAATATTTTTCCTTGGTAAACAAGACCATTAATAATCTTAGTGTACATTCATCTGAGTGATTGTTTTATCAAATTTCATCTTAAAGGTTTCATATTTCCCCAAGAGTATGTTCATCTTGGTTTCCTTGACTCTGTTAGTTTCTTCAAAAGTGACTTGTAGTTTGTATAGTTGAATTCAACAGGTGATAGAGCACAATAAAGGGAATATAGAGCCTTTGCATCAAGAATTTCTCTTCTTACTAGTTCTTTGGCAGATATTGTTGTTTATACTGCTCTTGTTTGTCTTGTGTTTTCAATAATGCCAGAGGTTGCAGATGAGATTATTATTGAATTTGCTCGAGCAGGACGGACACCATTTTCAACGACTTCCCATATTCATGGATCCATTGATGTGATAAATGCCTTTATCTTGCATTTCAGTAGTTGTAGTTTGTTGCATCGAAGTATGAAGGTCTCGAGTTTGATTGGCCTTCACAGACTACTGCACCAATATGACTAGCCATAAAGAATCTTTATGCTCTTGAAATGAAACACTTCAAAATAAGTAAGCAACTTGCTCTAATACCAATTGTTGTGACTAGTGATATAACCTAGAGGGGGTGAATATGTTACTTAACAAAACTTGATAACTTTTTACGGAATTGCATAGAATCAAGTTGATATATGCAGGATAGATATAAACAAAAACTACGTGCGCGATGCTTCTATCAAAGAAATGAAATGACAAGTAAATAGATACGATAGATGCACACAGATTGACAGTGGTTTTGCTTGGAATAACCTACGTTCACTCTTCCAATCAAACAGCCACCAACAATCCAATCAAACAGCCACCAACAACTGAAATTCACTAGTAACTATTTAGACGCGCTGCTTCTACCCAAAACTAGTAGATCACACTACCACGAATACTTTCACCATTACAACACTTGTACACTTCTCAAAATAATAACAATCTTTGACTCTCAATAAGCAAATTGATAAAACACAAAGTGTGTAAGGAGTTATTGTAATTCTCGCAGCTCATCTCTATCAACATTGGCTTGCACCGGTCCTTTTTATAGTGATTGATCTTTAAGTTGACTATTGTATGATCTTTGAGATAATCAATGTAGCCATTGTAGATTGCTATAAAATGATCGGAGATTTGGTTTCCTATTGTCGCGACCTACCCTCGAGTGCACCACCTAGGAATTCGGCTAATGGATTACTAAACCTAAACCTAGCTCGGGCTCTCCCAAGCCCATACCAATTCGCAACTTTAAGTTCAAGTTCTTAACATGCAAATGATTTTTATCTAAGAGTTGCCACTAATCTATTTTTGATGGGTCGATTAGAAACCCAAGTAAAGTGTGAGAGAATTACTCTTCTTCTACGAACCAGAGATTAAATGAATTCGGGGACTTGATTACACTAGATTACTCTAATGCTCTTTCGGTACCATTTCATTTTCTTGAAAACATTTATGCAGGCAGCTTGGATTAATTTTAATCTAGATTACTAACATGCAGTGAGTGATCATGCGGGTGCGCAATCATTAAAAGAACAATCAACAAAGCAACGAAGTCAACACACCAAGTCAATTAGGTATTTTTAGGGGTTTTCTTTTATTTTAAAACTAACCTATATAACATGTAAATTTTTTTTCCATTTTCTACCAATAAAGTAAGCAATCAAAGATAATAAAAACATCACCCACCAAAGATAACAACAATTAGAAACGTTATCCCATCGACTTGATATTTCCGCAAAAATAGAATCAATATCCTAATCTTAAAGCTTAAAGATCAATATACATTTTCTAACCGCGCAATCTAATAATTCCATCTAAAGACTTATAGACAGAATCAAAAGATCATATCGCGTTGTGGATTAGGAGATAAATCGTAATTGAAATTGTGCCTATCGCTCAAATATGCAAAGTTAGATAACGATAAGCACAGAATAAGCAATAAAATATCCAAATTGACTCGGATAAGATATTTACCTAAATGCGCAAATAATTTTCCAAATTTGAACTTCAAAGGAATATCTCGTGTGGCCAGTTGTGAAATGATACTCGGTTAATCGGACAACAACTGTGGCAACTCGCCAAAGGAGATCCTAGTAAATTAATACTTGGTCTTTTAGTTTGACCAAATAATCTCCGCCAAGAATCAAGACTTTTTGCTTCTTTCTCAAGACTTCACAAGCAATTCACCATGCAAATGGAGACAAGTTCCACCGCTTTGACCAAAAGCCAAAACAAGTCACGATCTTTGCTTTGCCGATCAGCCTTGGGACAACCTCGGGTTGTCTTCTATCACCGTGGGAACTAGCGATTAGGGACTGAGAGGACGCCGGGGAGATTCAGACTCGCTGAGAACTTGCTAGAATTCACCTTGGTTCGCTAGTTTGGTGCTAAGATTGTAGGAACAAGCTAGAGCAGTCGTCTGTTCAGTGTAGTAACGGAAGGACGTCGTCAGATCAGCAACTTAGCATAGAACAACGACTAATGCCACGACGCAATGAAGGAGCTCGTCGGGGCAGTAGGCTCGATGGACTGGGCAGCAGCAAGTCTTCGGAGGCGTGGCTACAGGTTTGGCCACGAGGGAAGGGAGTTCGGCCACAAAGGACTTGCCGAGCTCACTCTTTTTTATCTCAATTTTCTCTCTGTGTTTTTTTTTACGTGTCGAAAGAGTCTCCCTTTACTTTTTCGGACACGTGCCTAAATGCCCATCTCGGTCAAGAATGTATTGTGGGTACGTTCTTCTATTATTGACGAAGTGCACCGAATTAGAAATATAGGCTTTCTTAAAGATTGTTCCTTCATATCACGCCTATCGCAATTTCCTTTCTGCTCATTCCAAAGATAAAGATCCGCACGTTTTTTATTTTGCCCTTGCCAAGATTGTGAACTTCTGTATATATATATTTGAAAATTCCCCCACGTACAAAAAAATTCAGCCATAGTAATGAATGGGCTTGGCCGAGTTCCCAATCCACGCGGGCTCAATTAAGTTCTGAACTATCTGCCACCGGCTCGATGCAAATGCAGCTACTTAATAAATGTTCTTAAAACTAAATGTTATGCAATTTAACTTTAAATTTTTTTTTCAGGGGCTAAAGTTTAGTCTCTAATTTTTGGGGAAAAGTGACAAAAAAGTCCTAAACCTTTTGCATTAGTGCCAATTTAGTCTTAAACCTTTTTTTGGTGCCAATTCAGTCCTAAACCTTTTGCATTGGTGCCAATTTAGTCCTAAACCTTTTTTTGGTGCCAATTAAATCCTAAACCTTTTAAATTGGTACCAATTCAGTCCTAAACTTTTTGTTTTTGTGCCAATTTAGTCCTTCCGGCCAATTTTAACTGGAATTTGCCGACGTGGACGCCTGCCGGTCGGCGGCCGGTCACCGACGCCAACGTGGACAACTTTAATAATATTTTAATATTTTTTTGAATTTTTATTTTATTCCTTTTTTTCTTTTTTTTTCCACTTTTTTTTTTTTGGTCTCTCTTCCTCCTTCCTCTGGCCGGTCGCCGGTCCGGCGACCGGCCAGAGGCCAGAGGCCGGCGAGCTCGACCTTGCCGGCCACTGGCGAGGGCGGCCTCGCCGCGGCCTCCGGCAAGGTCGCTGGGCAAGGATCGACCTCGCTGGATCTGGCGAGGTCAAGCCTCGCCCAGCGACCTCGCCG